GGGGATTTTGCACCTACACCTGTCGGAAATGGTCAGAAATATATAAGAGGACGGTATAGGAATGGCAGTAAGCAACAGGGGCAGATGCTAACAAAATGCCTAATTTTGCATTTAAAGAAAAAACAAAATATTCCTGTTTTATATGCATGTGCACGAGAAAGTCATGTATCTAGGGAAGAACAAATGCAGTTACACCTGTCAGGAATGCCCAAAATTACGCATCTATGCTGAAATGAGATGATGGTACTGACCTTGTTATGTGCAGTACTGTTAAATTTAGTTGCAGAGAGTAATGCTATAAAATCAACTGAAGTTTATTTAACTCTTGGATAGTTCAGACTCGTGAAAGATGGCTACAGTTGGTTATTTGCCAATAGACTCAACTGCTATTGGACTTTTGGGACAAACTTTGACATGAGATCTTGTCTCTATTAATATGTCAAAGTTCATCTTATATTAGATGGTTGAGATTGATTTACTGTTTGAAGCTTTTATGAATTGGTTCATTTATTTCCTTCTTTCAGAAGTAACTTCAGCACATGTTGTTTTGTCACATCCGAACAATTATTAGGTCTATTGTGGTACAACAGTATAGGCACGTATGCTCGGTCAAAGGTCATATTCGTGCAATTGCTAAATTATAAGGATTTAAATGCATGTAACAGGACGAGAGCTATTGGCCACTATTGCCTCCTTTGCCATCATATGGTTATGGAAGAGAACGTCGTGGGCCACGCTATGGAAGTTTAATCCATGGGCAAAATCTTAAGGATGTCGTCATAACAGGTAAAGTTGTAATACCTTACTAAAAAGCGGTAAAGAAGTTTTTCAATTTTGCATCAGTGCTAATTCTCACTATTTACAAATTAATATAAAGAACTATACATTTGAAGTGTTTCCCAAGTTATCTGTGTGGTAGTTAAGGCCTGGTGAGAAGGACCCATTCCTCTTCAAGATTTGTGCACATGCTAAGTTATTAAGTTTGTCTAGTGTTTCCCAATATATCTTGTGTTACAGATAGGGTTAAAAAGCTCAAAATAGTAAAACTATAATAATAAAATATGTATGGTCACTGTCATGCGTGCTGTTCTGCGGATTGTTCTTTGTCCCCTATCTCTGCTTTTGGCCTCTAATATTGATTTGATAAGCTATGTATCTTGTTTTCGGATAACTGCATGTTGCCTCTGCTCCATGTTCTCTCCTATAGCGACAAGCTCGCCAAACAAAGTGCATATTTGAATGTGATACTGATTGAGCATAGTGCGAAAATATTTCTGATTGTTTAAACAATTGAGCGACAGGCCATAATGGTACCATTGACGGGCAAGGCCGATCGTGGTGGGAGAAATACCGCAGAAAGCTTTTGAATCACACAAGGGGCCCACTTCTTCAACTTCTGTGGTCGAAAGACATTCACATTTCTGATGTTACATTCCGTGATTCTCCATTCTGGACTATCCACCCTTACGACTGCCAAAATGTTATTATCAGAAATGTAACTATTTTGGCTCCATTGTCTGATGCCCCAAACACTGATGGAATAGACCCTGGTGAGTCCTCCTTATTCCCTTGTATTAAGAAATCGTTCTTCATGCCTTTCTTGATCCCTTGGTTTTGTATCTGTAATTTGGATATCGGCTTTGTGCCACTTCATCACCTTTGATCTTTTAAATGCTTGTATTGACCTGCCACAGACATGTGCTCTGTAGGAATTGCTTTCTCAACCAAAAAACTTGTGTAATATGAAGAGATAATTGTCAAAAAGAATAAATTTGCTCCATCTCATCCAAGACTTCCTTTCCTTAGAAACTAATGCATTCAGGGCAAGTGTATTAAATACCTTCGTACCAGCAGAAATATCTTGTTTTGCTCTTCGCTCTTTGACTTTTCAAACAAATGTTTCATTGAACACTATTTCTTAAAAAGCTACATTATTAGACATGCTAATTTTTACTGTTTGGTAGGCATGTGTTTTCTGAAAATCTGCTTTCTATTTTAGAAAGAGCTAGCCGCGTTTTATCTCACTCTCTCTATATAATCTTAAGTCTGAAATGGTTCATTCATTTTGGGAAGGAGGGACTTGTGAGGTTGTAAACTTGGAAGACTAGGTCATTTTTACATGTTCAATGCTATTGCATAAGTATGCTTTTCTGTGTCATATCCTTTAAGACAAAAATATTGAGCAGATGGATCTTATATTGTTGTTTGGCCTATGCAGATTCGTGCGAGAATATGGTGATAGAGGATTGTTATATAAGTGTGGGGGATGATGGAGTTGCAATCAATAGTGGCTGGGATCAGTATGGAATTGCATATTCCCGGCCTTCTTCCAACATCACTATCCGTAACCTCATAGTCCGCTCAATGATTAGGTAATATTTGTTTCCCTATTATATTACTCCCTCCGTTTCAATTTATGTGAACCTATTTCCTTTTTAGTCCGTGCCAAAAAGAATGACCCTATTTCCTTTTTAGTCCGTGCCAAAAAGAATGACCCCTTTCCTTATTTGGAAACAATTTACCTTTACACAATGATTTATAGCCACACAAAATATGTGCTTCATTTTACACCACAAGATCAAAAGTCTTCTCTCTTTTCTTAAACTTCGTGCCCAGTCAAATGGGTTCACATAAATTGAAACGGAGGGAGTATAATTTACTTCAAGTTTACTCCTTGCTGCAAAAAAAATCATTTCCTGTTGTTGTTATTACCTCTCTGGATCTGTCAGCGTAAAAGTTATGCATAATCCCTGCTGCATTAAATTTTTTCATCACTAACTTGCGGTTACATATTTATTTTCTCACTTCATCGCTAGAGACTAAGTCAGACCTTGAGTGCTGCGTCCTTTTGGTTTTAATGTCAACTGACTTGTTCATTATTAACAGTGCAGGAGTATCAATTGGAAGTGAAATGTCTGGTGGAGTGTCAAATATAGTAGTGGAGAATCTCCTTGTATGGAACTCAAAAAGAGGTATAAGAATTAAAACTAGCCCGGGTAGGGGTGGTCATATTCGACATGTAAGCTACCGCAACCTGACACTAGAGAACGTTCGTGTGGGCATTGTAATTAAGACTGATTACAATGAGCATCCTGATGAAGGTTATGATCCAAAAGCCCTTCCAGTTATTGAGGATATAAGCTTTACTGGTATTCGTGGACAAGGAGTTCGAATACCAGCACGTATTTATGGAAGCCCTGAGATTCCTGTTCAGAATATTACTTTTCAGGACATGTCCGTTGGAATAACATACAAGAAGAAGCATATCTTCCAATGTTCTTTTGTTCAAGGACGTGTTATTGGAAGAATCTTCCCTGCCCCATGTGAGAATCTTGATTTATATGATGATGGAGGAAAACTACTTAGGCGAGCAACAACACAGGATACGAAGGACTTGGATTATGATGGTTGAGACGAAAGGTGCTTTATTCCTTAAATGAAAATGTTGGTACAACAGATGGCTCGTTGCCGGCAACATTTGATCTTCTTGATCCATCGAATCCACAGTCTAATGCTGGGAGGTTAGAGCATGTTCTAAAGTGTTTGCAGTTGTTACATAGATTTGCAAGAATGAAAGGAGTACATGGATGGAGTACCCACTCGGGGAGCTTTTAATAGGCAAACATTGCCTCAATCTCCCCGGAGAGGGTACTAGTTTGGTTGCGAGGCTGCGACCAGGAACAGAAGCTCCAGTGCCCACAGTAATACCCAGGCTGGTTGGACATCTGCCATTAATACAAGGGCACAAAATTCGTCATGGTTTATTGCAAAAGATGAAGCTGGATGTCAATTCTTGGAGAAATCGCACAGGCCTGGAGAGTGGGGACATCAAGGGACATGCTCCACATCTCATTCATATTTTTTATATTTTATTTTGTTTAATCTTCTGGTTCGATATGTCGGAAAAAGGTATCGAATTGTGGAAAAACTGGTGTAGGTGGTCTTTGTATATTTACTTCAGTTCCATAAAAATATGAGAGAACACATTCATACATTAACGGATGCAATATCTTATTCATCCCCCAGGTTATACAGCACCGTTGACACACTATCATGTCCAGACTATCGTTATTTACTTTCAAATAAAGATTATTCCTCATCTCGAATTTGGTTCATATGCTTCCATTAGGATATGGGTGATAGATAGCTTGTCCCTACTTATTCTTCGCTGCAATCGCTTCGATCCACCCCCTCGGTGAAAAACCGTAATACGCCCTGAGGAATTCCTACCAGCAGACTTCCCTGTACTCAAAGTGAATTGTCTAAGTGCTCTCCTTTGTCTCATTGTTTATCTCGTAATCATTCGATTAGCTCATCGCATAAAAAGTTAGATTGTGTATATTAAAACAAGTATTTGGTTTTATACGGCATCATTTGTTCCAAAAAAACATTTTCAATCTTTAATCAGTATATCACTGCTTTGTTATCTAAATAGCTTCGTTTGGATGAACATTTGGGTCAATGAAGGATGTCATAGTTCTACTATAGTAACAGACAATTATGTGAGGATCTCCTCTCTTTTTTGGCCGCATGATTGAACATTCAATAATATTATAGTACATGATAATCATCATACATGTTACGATCAGAACGCCATTTTCCTAACAGTAATTTGTATAACTGTATTAACAATGTTTTAACCAAGTACAGCTAATACATGAACTGCATATATAAAAACTTTATGCAGCTTTTATATATGGGAGACATGAAACAAATAATGGATAGTTTTACACAGAATATATTTTTAATATCTCATCACAGACGACCCCTAGATTCATCTAGCACGTCAAACAATTTACATAAGCGCTGGTTATCCTACGTGACTCAAGTCACATAACAAGAAGCTTTTCCACCAATAATAAAGGCAGAAAAATAAGATGAATCCAAGATGAAATAAGAGTACGACTTCCAAATTACAATAAAATGATACAGCAGCTCTCATCTACATCCTCCAAAAGAAAACAGAGGGCCTCTAACAACTATGATATACCAAGTACACTTTATACCTCAGACTATTTTTAGTTCTTTAAGCCATGCAGTGTGTAATGGGCACGGATCAGGTTTCCCTTCTGCGATTGCCTTCTCAGAGAGTGAATAGAACCATCCGTTTCTCCATTTGAACTACAAACATCAGACAAATAGGATGGTTAAAACACACAATTCAAATTATCATGTCAATTAAGAAATCTAAATTTCTTACCTCCTTGACAGCTGTTGGAAAGTGTGCAACCGCTCGGGAGTAAGCGCACAGCCTATCCTCCATCGCTTCCTCAAAAACTAGACCTTTCTCTGCAGCAGCTGCAGCTGCAAGCTCAGCGATCAGTTGAGACACCTGAAAACAGTGAACTAAGTTTATAACATCCTGGCATCTACATTATCATCTGTATTTGGTGCAAACAATTAGAAAGAAAGCGAAGCATCCAACTTTCAGCTCCTCTAATTAATAGCATGTGCTTGACTATGACCAAAATGGCCATGGAAAACCACATTAGTTTGGAAAAATGAGGGGGACAAAAAGAGGAAAAGCAAATAAATGGGTGATCCGGAGAGCCTGAAACCCAGCCTAGGTTAGGTGGTACTTTGCCTTTTCATGTGGACAAGGGTGACTCAATTTGGTAAAACTGGAACAAGAACTTTCCAGAGTGCATTTAGCCCCCATTGCATACAATTTATAGTTGGTCTAAACACTGACACAACATGGATTAGAAGATCAAAGAATTACTGTAGAACCGAATAAAAATGCTATGCTCCATTAATGCGGCCTCGAGCAACAATTATGGTAATTATACAATAGAAACAGAGTTGATGAGAACCAAAACCAGTTTCTCTTGATACACTACATATATGTAAGCCACTAATACCATGAATATCGTCAATACGCAGTGTTTTGGTTAATTCTATTTCCACTAGTAAAATCTTCTGTGTGAGATCTGAGCTGCAAACGTTCCATATTCTTAATCCTATGTACGGGAAAATAAGCTAAAAAGTGAATTAAAGTATCAGTAGTTATTTGAGGTTTCCTATTACCTCATACAAGGTGTCTCTACTTAGGCTATAGCAACAACACCAATACAAATCAGTTTGTGTTCTCTGTCTCTTTCACTTAAAACCCAAGTTGCTCAGACTCGGGTGCGGGTATCTGATACAGGGACGGATCCGAGTATCGGATTCAGCAAAATCTAAATTTTAAGATTCGAAGGTGTGGATCCGGATATGGATATGGATCCGGATACGGGTGCGGGGGATTCGGCTAATAAAAAATAGAGCTATAAAATTATTGTAAATTTTGAGAGATATTCTGTAGCACCAAAATCGAAGAGCCCTCACAACTTAGCTTAAAACAAGGTAGCTTCTTTTGATTTTTTATTTTTTATTATAATTTTGAAACTACCAGTAGTCTTAAAGGAGTTATGGTGTAAGGGTAGTTGATTCTAAGACCTGAAACAAGATAAATAAATAATGCAACCTAACCTTTCAAAAGCAAATTAAAAGTGGATATCCTTCAAAGGGTTTTGATAGATGAGTCACTCACCTCAGAGCGATACTCTTTTTCAACAGCACCTACTGTTGCTCCAGGATGACGAGCTCCAACAAGCATGAAAGCACATATCCATATAAGCTTCTCCAACATTTGCTTCTGAAAAGGCTCCTTCTCAAGTACCTGGTTTTTCACAAACACAAAATGCATTACAGATCCGAGTAGCGGAGTAGTGCAGGCTACTACAAGGCACAGTGCTTGAAGATGAATAATGGACTTCCTGGACCTTGTAAACTTGTAGGTGAAAATTAGAAAAGGAGATGCAATCTCTAAAGACTTCACTTGGTAAGGTACACGATGAAATAAAATGAAAGAGGTCTTCAATCAATTGCGTGATTTAACATCACCTTTCAATTTGAATTGCAAAACCAGTGTCTCCTTTTGGACAAGACGGTTTTACCCTTTTTCTTTATGAAATACAAGGAAAAGAGGTATACTATCAGTAGTAAAAGGGCAGCCCGGTGCACTAAGCTCCCGCTATGCGCGGTGTCCAGGGAAGGGCCGGACCGCAAGGGTTTATAGTGCGCAACCTTACCCCGTTGAATAAGAAGCCTCCAATGGAGGAAAGTGAGTCTAGTTCATCATGGAGGAAAACAAATTGATGCTAATGTTAAACATGTATGTTGAAGTGTTCAAAATACAGCACTCTAAACTTAAATCCCTATTCTGAAAAAAGTCTTCTAGCCAACTTTCAATTCAATAGCATCAAACAGGAATTTTCACTGCATGATTATAATGTTATAATGAGCAAATAATACCATGTGAAGTTCATTCTTTACCTTGCAAGAGAGTCCACCAGCCTGTAATCTTGCAGCCACTGCAGATGCCCATTTTCCATAAGCTGCAGTCAATCCTTCTGGATTGGTATCAGTTTTCCCATCAGTAGGAGGTTCACCAAGTTTTGATACTGCAAAATATGCCAAAACTTGGTCTGCATCACCGAGACCTTTACTTTGGAACCAAGGCTCCAGCATTCCATTCTGGAAAAATACCAAATCTGCCACATCAAGATTTATTACAGGGTCACATCATCCATTAAAACATAAGTTAGCCCAAACTACACCCAAAAAGAAAATCAGAAAAAAGGAAATAGTACATTAACAATGCAACACAATAAATACGCCTCAATCCCAAGGAAGTTAGCATCAGGTATATGAACTCACAATTCATATCACTCCATTTACATAAAAATAAACTACTTAACAATAATAATAATAAGCAATACTAAAGTTCTCTACATTTTCTATTGGCATATTAATATTTCTTTCAAATCTACTAAAAGACTCCTAGAAATATTGGACAATACACCATCAATGCACGAGGGAAAAAAAAACAAATTTATCACATCAACAACACTACTATTAACAACAGAAATTTCTGAGCGCCTAAGCTTAGCTTCAATCAAAAGTCACAGATATTAACAACTATAGCATAACACCTTAGAACGAAATTATCGTGTTGTACGTAGTAAACAAAACAACTGAAATGTACAAACAACTTGTTTGGAACGTTGTTACATGTCCTTTCATAATGTATTGTATTGTATTGTACTGCATTGTACTGTATTGTTTGATGAATACAATGTTTGGATAGATTGTATCATTTGCCGTCATCTCATATATCAAGCACCAATATGAAGAATAAACTTGCAACATTACTAAAAAAAATAGGATAAGGAGTAGAATTATAATATAAAAGTGGGATAAAGAATAAAATATGATTATCTAATAATAAGGAACGGCAAGATGAAAGAAAAAATCAAGGTAACAATGCCACCATACCAAACCCACCGTTCCATAAAGTAGCACTTTTTAGTCGTTACGTAACGACAGAACGATACGATACAATAAAATTTATATAATAATCAAAACAAATATTATATTTAAAGTAACAATACGATACATAACAGCCATCCAAACAAGCTGTAATGGGGAAAATAAATTATACTCTTCTGTTATTCTTTCAATTTTTAATTTTTTATTTTACACTTGACAGTATTATTTATAGTCACACAAATTTTTATTACTTGTTTTTATAACATGTTTCAAAAATCCTTGAACTCCATGCTCAATCAAACAATAATACAGAGTAACACTATAGTAAGGGGAAGTCCAGCATACCGCTCCAACGAGATTTAGGAGTAGCTTCAAGTACTGCTTCAAGATCATCATTCCTAGTGCAAACCAATATTGGACCAGCAAAATCAACGGGAACAGGTTCACCCCTTTTAACCAAAACATCATCTCCATTACCCAAATCTTGTAAAGCTCTGCCCACGCGTCCACCTCCGACTATGATTGCAGGAGCTACTTTTGTTGTGGTGCCAGTAGCCATATTAGCTGAGGTGGATAATGATGCTCTAATTCTGAAATTGAGGTTGATTCTTGAAATGGGTTTTGTGTAGTGGTGGCAAATTGTTGAGCTAGAAAGTGTGACAGAGTTCAACATTGCTGCCTTCATTCTGCACAGTTTTTGGGGCCATGGTTTTTTTTCGGATGTATTAATTAATG